TAATGGGACCTAGGCTGGCCAAGATAGCCCCCATCAGCCAGGAACCACCTCATCCTCACCCACCCTTGTGCTCCAAGCTTTCTCTTCATTCCTAGTAGGTGAGGTCACACTGGCTGCCCAGACCAGGCCCTCACATGAGGCCCGGGCCCCAGAGTGAGCAGGGTACAGTCTGGGATCCCAGGGTATGTGTGTGTGTGAGGGATGGTATGCAGGCAGACACCTCTGTGAAAGGCTTACAAGCCAGAGTCCCCCTTCTTTGCCTCATCTTCTAGACCCAAAAGCTGACAAGAGGGTTTTGGCATCAAGAAGAGGAAGCTGGAAGACTGTCTGTGTGACTAAAGTTCCCCCCTACCTTGCTTGCTCACCAAGAGCAGAGGGCTTGAAAGAAACTAAGAGGAACTTACAGCCTTATTTATTTGCCAGAATCCCTGGAGCTTGAGAGGCCCCAGGCCCACTTCTTTTTAAGTCAGTGACCCAGCTGTGATGAAGCCCAGGGCTCTAGGGTCCCCCTGCCTACCTCCCACCCAACCCTGGGCCCTACAACTCCCACTCCCAGCATCAAGATTATTGCTTTTCATTTCATGCAGATGGAATCTGGACACCTGAGTTTGGTTTCTGCTAATTCTTAATAACACTCACTGGGACTAGCTTCTGCTTGCGAGGGGTAGAGGGGTGAGGCAGGGAGAACGAGGCAGGATAGACAGTAGCCCAGCTCTAGCATATCCTGGGAACTAGTGATCACAGAGGCTGAAACAGAGTACAGACTTCCCCTGGACCCTGCAGGGGAGGAAGCCAGGCGCCCCTCAGGTTGGAGGCCAGAGACTTAAGACAGGAGGGTGTGGCCCAGTCTAGGGATAGATGGCAGGAAGAAAGGAATCAGGCTGGGCGCCCAGGCTGAGAATGCTGCCCAGTCAGCAGCCTGCTCTGGGGATGTGTTTTCCTTCTGGCCCATCCCTTCCTGCCACCCCCAATTCTGCCAGCCAACATTTACCTGGCTCTGCCCATGAGCCTGCCAGGACCCATTCAGAGCCAGAAGCCCAGGGCTCTGAATGGGAGTTTATGAAGAATACTGGCTGAGAGGAGCAGAGGTTGTCTGGAGGCTGGTGCAGAGGCCTGGGGAATAAGGACATGGAGGAAAGTGTCTCTGTCAGGAAATCACTTGGTTCATTCAGTCCTGCCTCCAAGCCCTTGTCCATGCTATCCCCCACCCCCACCCCCACCAAGAACACCCTTCCCTTCCACCTTCTCTGGCTCTCCACATTCCTCCCTATGTCTCCGCTTTTGCTCATATCCCTGCTCTGCCAAGAGGTCTCAGTGCTCCCACAGCACAGAGCTCCAGAGGTGGCCTCCTGTTCCCTGACTCCACATCTGACCAGGGAGAAGGGTTCGCACCCTATACCTATCTCAGGCTGGGAGGCTTCCTGAAGGCCTTGACGGCCTGTGTAGAGGAAGGAAACTGGCAAAGGGTATCTGGGGGTGGGGATGTCTCTGGGCATTAACCATGGCTAGCCTGATCCTACTTAATGTCACACTCTTCCTCCCTCCTCCCTTTCTCTCACTGCCTACTCCAGGACTCCCTGACTTGGTTCCAGACCCCAACTATGTGCAAGCGTCCACTTATGTCCAGAGAGCCCACCTGTACTCCCTGCGCTGCGCAGCAGAGGAGAAGTGCCTGGCCAGGTAAGGAGCTGAAGATAGACAGTCCATGGGAGTTACCCAGAACCCACATGCATGCCAGCCAGGCTGCCAGGCTGCCTGTAAGCCACATAACCTTGGCCAGGTGTCTGAGCCTCCCAGGACCTGGTCCTCATCATGTACAAGCCTTGCCTGCCCCAAGGGAGTCAGGAGAGGAAGGGAACAAGCTGTTATTCTGCATTTCTGAATATGTCGCTATACAAGGTAGCTGACTTTTACTGTGGCCTTTAATCTCCACTCTAGCACTGCAAGTATGTGTTATCCCGGTCAGGAAACTGAGGTGCAATGACAGGAACTAAAACTTTTCCTATCTGAGCTGCCTCAGGAGAATGTTCCTCATGGGGAGCCCAGGGTTCCGATGCTTCCGTGAGGACCTGGGGAAGTCCTTTAGGGGAACAAACTTTCAGGACAGAGGGCCAGAGTATGAGGCCATCTTCACAGAGGACAAGGGTGACTGGCTGGCCCAGGCCATCTGCCTGGGTCTTAGCAGGGGTGGTGAGCATAGGCAACAAAGAGGCCTCAGTTATGTGTGGCAACAGAAGGTGAGCACAGCCAACTCTTCATAATTCCTGGGCGATTCTGCCTCCTGCAGAGCTGGCTTCTAATTTTTGTTAACTAAATATTCTGTTCAAATATATATGCTTTGGGGACATCTCCCTGTGCTAAAAGAACTAAAGATTACACTGACCTACTTTTGTTGACATTTCCCTATGCTGGAAGCACATAGTATTCTTAATTACTTGCTTCTTTTTTTGACATTTGAACTTTTTATTTTATATCTAAGTGTCTGGGAACCCCTTTGGAATCTAAACATTTTCTCACTTATGGACTCTCTAGTCCACTGCCACTCAGAGTAGTTGACCACAACTGTTATCTATTTGTAACAAGATAAGGAGCTTGTACCAGGTTACAACTCAGCTCACTGCTTCCTTCATCAAGAAAAGGCTTGAAAAGGAAAGAAAAAATATCCGCTGAACTAAACAGTGTGATTAGTGATATAGTTGATCTACATGCTCGTGCAAGTTCCTTATCTCATTACAGACTGGCAACAAACTGTGCGTGAACTGGCAGCAGTCCTAGGACACACACTGAATACCACTCAGTCGGCCTGCCCATTCAGGTCTTGTCTGTTCTCAGTTGTCCCTGGGAAGGGAACACAGTGACATGCTGCTGCTATGATTCCTCCAACAGTGAGGAGCTCACAGCCTCCATGGCAGTCCATTAAGGCAGAGATTTGAGGAGTTTGAGTCAAAACCCAGACTCCTGCATGGAGCATCCGTGTGTCCAGACCTGAACTCCTAGATGGGCTGGGGAGGAGCCGGGCCCTATCCTGGAAGGATCTCCTGGTCTAGCTGAAGAGACACGCCCCAAGGACAGAACCAAGCAGCAGGTAGTGGAAGGAGAGCTAGCGTGAGCAGTTTGCAGGCTGGAGCTTGCAAGGTCAGAGAGGGAGAGGTCAGCAAGAGCTGAGGCATCAGAGGAAGCTGGGCGCAGGATACAGACCTAGAAAACCTAGCAAAGCTCAAGCCCTGGAGTGTGAGGCCCTCGGAGATCATCGGAAGTGTGGGCTGCAGGCTGATGCCAGAGCACAGACGGCTAGCAGGATCCAGACAAGGGAAAGGACTTGCTCCAAGTCTCACCACAAGTTTGTGGCCAAGCTGGGCCTAGAACCTAGACCCTGATGGTTTCCCACGGTGTGCTGAGCCGAGCGGAAGGGCAGCGTTGAACTCGACAGAGGAAAAGAGGGTGTTTGTTCCAACCCAGACACAGATGGATTCCAAGCCTTCCCCAGACAAGGCCAAGGGCCCTGTGTCCTGGCAGAGAGGAGCCTGCACTGCCTGTTGTCCAGACATCCTCTCAGAGAGAGCCAATCCCCACAACTGGCTACCTCCTGCCTCTGGCCTTAGGACCCAGACCTTACTGAAGGCCAGAGAAGTGCCCCTAAGGCCGGCCAGGACAGCTCTCACAAGGCCCATCTCAGCTGGGAGTGGGGGTCAGTAACTGAATTGTGAGCAGGCAGTCTGCACCAGACCCATGCTCCCTAAGTGGAAAAGGGCAGGTCGCTAGCCCTGAAGCCATGTAATCAGGGAGATATGGCCTCATCACACAGACCTAGCTTGGGGCGTGTGTGGTATCAGGTTGTGCTGCAGGCATCATGTTAGAGCTCACAAGCAGTCAGGATTTCTTAAGTGGAGCAATCAGGGCAGACTTCCTTGGGGAGGGGCCTGAACTGGCCTAAGAGGCTGGGTGAGTTCTGGGTCAAGTGAACAGCATGGGCAAGAGTATAGATTAGCAAAAGAGTTAAGTCTGTTTGGGAAACAGTGTTTGAAGCTAGAATGCAGGGTGTGTTGGGAAGTGGAAGGCAAACAGGACCAGGAAAGTGAAGAGGCTTTGACACTGAAGAGGATGAGCCTGTTTCTTAGGTTCACAACCAAGACATGGCATGCCTCAGTCAACAATTAGGGCTCTGTCCAGAGGAGGAAAGACTTATCAGAATCTCCTGGATAGGGCCATTTTATAAAAGACCTCTAAAGATTTTGAAACGACCCCACCCCCAGGGGCTATTCCTAGCTAAGAGTCACCTGCAGGTATCAGGGACCCTCAGCTAGTCATTGTCAGGCCAGATGCTGCCAGCCTCATGGTGGAGAGAAGGAGAAAGGCCCGAGCCTCCGCCGCATTGCAGGGGGTCAGATGTCAGGGTCTTCGGGGGCAAGTTGGCCTATTCTGGGTTCAGTGTCATGGTACCCAGCCCCACTCTGGTCTTCCTACCTGTCCCTGCAGCACGGCCTACGCTGCGGAGGCCACTGACTACGACGTGCGGGTGCTGCTACGCTTCCCCCAGCGCGTGAAGAACCAGGGCACGGCAGACTTCCTCCCGAACCGGCCGCGGCACACCTGGGAGTGGCACAGCTGCCACCAGTGAGTGAAACCAGTGTCCTCTCCTGCCCATTAGCGTTCCTTCCCCATTAGCACTTCGGGAGAGGCAGGTGTTGGTGGGAGGGTCCCATGAGGTGTATTCTGCTAAGGATCTATCACTGGGGCAAGAGTTTCTCAGAGGAGCCTTAGCAAAAGCTGGGCTGGAAGAGGAGATATGGAAGGATCAGTCTTGAGAAGGAATGAAAATGTCTAGAATAAAGGGCTTGCTTACGAGAAGCCAGTACAGGTGGCTGCCAAAAGGAAGTGAGGAGTCCTGAATGGATGCTCTCCTAGGGTGAGACGGGCACCTAGGTGGGGACAGGAAAGATACTGCCCTGTGGGACACAGGAGACCCAGGAGCCCCAGGAGTCCAGACTAGTCAGGAGGCTGTGTCACAGCAAGGTCACCTGTGCCCGTCTCAGGAGGTGACGAAATGGGAAGCCCAGGGATGACCAGGCCCTCTTTTCCCTCCCTGTCTTCTGACTCCAGACATTACCACAGCATGGACGAGTTCAGCCACTATGACCTGCTGGATGCAGCCACAGGCAAGAAGGTGGCCGAGGGCCACAAGGCCAGCTTCTGCCTGGAGGACAGCACCTGCGACTTCGGCAACCTCAAGCGCTATGCATGCACCTCACACACACAGGTTGGGCTAGAGAGGCAGGGGAGCTGGGGGAGCAGACAGCAATGCAGCCTGGGCCAAGTTGAAGATGGGCTAGTGCCAAGGCTCCCGGCCACTCACCTCAACCAGAGTGGGGCTCTTCTTGCCAGTCCTCAGGCCGCCACAGTGCCCTTTGAGGGCTGCCCCACTCCGGCCCCTTCCCGTGTCATTCCCAGGGTGTCTGCTCATGGAAAGAAAAGAACATTCTCAACAAAGTCCGGATGCCATGATGTTCTGTTTACCTAGTTGTCCACCCAAATTCATCTTTCTGTCCATCTATCCAAACAGACTGGCTACCTATCTGCCTATCTGTCCCTTTATCAATTCCTCCATCCATTTCTCCCAGGCACACTCCTTTATTTGATCCCTCGAATCTGGCAATTAGATCTCATTATCCCTCTGGTCCATCTGCCTGTGCACTTAGGAAGGGGCAGAACCACTCTGAGCAGCTTCCCTGGGCCAGGGTTGGGGTGAAGCACAGAAGAAGGAGGGCCCCAGGCTACCGGAGTGGGCATGGATGGCTCTGGGGAGCATTGCAGCACCCAGCCTCTACTCTTGTCCCCGTTCCCAGGGCCTGAGCCCAGGCTGCTATGACACTTACAACGCGGACATCGACTGCCAGTGGATTGACATAACTGATGTGCAGCCCGGGAACTACATTCTCAAGGTGGGCCTCTTGGTCTGGAGCACCTACTCCAGAATGATGCTCATGTCAGTGTCCCCACCCCTGAGATTTGCTTCAGCCTCTGGGTGTGTTTCCCCCTCCCCAATAGCTGAATAGAGGCAGCATCCTGGGGCATCATGCACAGGTCTGCACTTCCCATCTAAAGGTCTTAGCCTCAGGCTGATACAGCCTCTTTCCATATAGACACCAAAGAACCCTAGGCTTAGGTGTGGTCGTGTCAGAAGAGGTGGTGACTCTGTCTTCCCTAAGTGACAAAGGACTTGGTGAGCCATGTGGTCCATCCCCTGTCTGTGGGCAGGGCAAGCCCTGTGAGAGGACACTGCCCTCTGAGAGAGACCCTCAGCTTCTCAAGGTGACCCCTGCAAAGCCAGGGTCTCTTGTAACCAAGAGTCCCTTCCAGCCTGAACCCCACTCACTCCAATGACACTTCCCCTGGCCCAGGCAGTGGGAGAAGAAGCAGAAAAGCACATTACGGACACATCATCCAACATGATACGTACCTGCTTCGCACAGGCTTCGCAGGACTGGGTCATCATGACCTTGCCTGGGGAAGCCAAGTCTTGGCCTCCTCCATACAGGTGTGAGGTGAAGGTAGGTATCACTGTGCCAGGTCCGCCAGACCCATTGCTCCAGGCCAAAGTTCAGTGGAGGAGGAGCAGTGAGGATGGCTTGGAAGGCAGCTTTAACCGGCATGAAGATGGGCTGCTGGGGCGACCACATTTAGAACACAGCACCCTCAAAGCTGGTTGCAGCTTCCTCCTGAGCACCTTTCAGCAAGTTTGGTAGGGCCTCCGATCCACCTCTCCCAGGGGCTCAGGTTGTCAAGGGTATTCCATCCTTCTCTTGTTCATCCACTCGCCAAAGATGTGCAAAGACCCCTCTGCGTTCTGGGGATTTGAGCCACATAACCAGTGCATAGTTTCCACCCTTAAGGAGTGTACGAGGATTTAAAAGTAACATCCATCTGATCTTAAATGTTCTGCAAATAAAGCTGGGTGTAGCCTGCCCCAGTGAAGGCTCCTCCACCCCAATAATCCAACATTTAAAAGGCTTCATTGTGTCCTGACAGCTCTTCTTCAGACAGAAAGCACAGGTTATGCTTGGGCCATCATCTCAGTGAGTGTCCGGTCCCTTGGGCTCCAGGGCCAAGAATGCCACTTGGCATCATTCGGGCCTTCGACGGTTCGTCTAGACAGACATGCGTGGTGAAAGGGTGCAAGCCTCAGAGTGCAGAGACCAAGCACGGGATCCCCGCTGAGCCCCTCACTCCCTGCTCTGTTCTCTGGGGCAGTGACTCAACCTCTCTGACCCTGAATGTCCTATGCAGGGACCACCTGGCCTGGGCTCTGTGTCTGGGGAAGCTTCCCGTCTTCCAGTAAGGGTTATCTGATGTGTTCTTGGCTATGACTATCTCTTCCGTCCTCCATCTCTCTGATCTCCCCATGTCTCTCTATCAGTGTATCTCTGTCTCTGTGCCTCTTGGTCTCTGTACCTTCTCCATCTTCCCGTTGTCTCCCTTTCTCTGTCTCCTCTGTGTCTGTCTGCCTCTCCACCACCTTCCCTGCTGACCAAGTGAAGTGCACTCCCCTGACCAGACCCCTTTTCTCTTTGTCCCCCCCCACTTCTTCAGGTGCACGTGAACCCCAAGTATATCGTTTTGGAGTCTGACTTCACCAACAATGTGGTGAGATGCAACATCCACTATACAGGCCGCTACGTTTCTACAACAAACTGCAAAATTGTCCAGTAAGTGCTCGCCCACCCCTTCCCTGCCCCAGCCCCTTTCCTACCTAGGGAGCAGGCCGGGCCACATGAAACATAAGATACCTGCATTTTGAGTCACCTCAACTGCCAACTGCCAAACATAGTTGCGGTTGGGCCCAGCCCACAGGCTGAGCAGGAGGAGGCTTGTCCATGCCAGCCTGAGCTGAGTGCCCATGGTGGGGCTCAGGCGGCTGTGTTGACCTGGGGTGTGGCTCCCTAAGATCTCTCAGGTGGAAGCCAGCAGGAGGCAACATCTTTGGGTGGATGTACATAGGCTCTGCAATCCTAGTTTTGTGACCTCCTTGCTCTGTGACATTGGACAGTTTACCTCACCTCTCTGAACTATTTTTAACTATAAAATAGGAACTTTTTATATCCCACATAGGCTTGTGAGGAGGATTTAAAGGCCTGACGTCTATGCATGCTCAAGAAACCTTCACAGTGGCACTCAACGAATGCTATCCGTGATCATTAGTGTCTTTATCAAGTGGATTGAATTAAACAGTCCCAAATTAGAAGTGATTCTGATCGGAAAGAGCTGTCATCAGTCCCTGGGCCCCATTGTTGGGCTGATAAACTCTGGGCCCAGGCCTTTGGCACATGGCTTCTGAGCAGGGTCCTCAGCTGTCACTGCCCTGCGGGGATGGCTGTCCTCAGCCTCTCCCCTGATTCCGCACATGAACTACTTTGCAGAGAGGCCCCCTGCTAACAAGTTCACAATGAAACTCCACCCCACTGCATGTGAATTTAAAATGTCTGATCAGGTCAAGGCGAATGTTTTCCATTGAGAGAGAGAGAGAAAGAGAGAGACGCAGAGAGAGAGAGACTGAGACAGAAACAGAGACAGAGATAGAGACAGAGACAGAGACAGAGACAGAGACAGAGACAGAGAGACCTTAGAGCTTTAGTCTACCAGCTGCAGGATGAATGGCAGAGATGTCAAGGCCCAGAGAGCCCTCTTTACCTAAAAGTGGATGACAGGTATGACAGGTGGAGCCTTTAACCAAGATCAAGACTCTGAGCAGGGTCAAGATTCAGAGAAAGCTGTTTCACCCTTAGCTGCACCACTAACCTAACTGTTCACAGAACCCCCTCCCTGTCATGCCATGTATATTAAAAATGAGAACAGCAGCCTCTAGCTCTAGGCAGAGAATAGATTCTTCATAAGCAGAATCAGATCAGCATTATCCAGATAACAGAGTGTGTTTGAAACAGCTGACTCCTGCCCCATCCCTAGCAACATGGCTCTTTTGCAGGCCTGGATTCCCAGTACTTTCTTACTCCTCAGAGCCTGTCTCAATCCGCTGTTCAAATTCAGAGATCACCTAAATGGCAAAAGTTTTCTGGAAGGCAATTCTGTAGAAGGAGAAGGAGGAAGGCAGGAAGGGGAATACAAAAAAAGTGGGGCTCAGGGGTGCACAGGAGGCCAGGGAGCCTACATCCCCCTCTTTTGCCTGCTACTGGGAAAAGTAGATTGAAACAGTCTCCCTTTTCCAGGTGGCACCTCAGGCTAGGCCCCCTCAACAGGGCAGACAGAGAAGCAAGCAGAGCCCCGCCTCCCCTGAGGCCGTTGGGCCCTTCCCTCTGAGCCCTTTACATAAGTGCTTGGAATGGTTCAGGTCTTATTAGAGTGTCTCTGCGACCCTGACCGCAGGCAGGCGGCTGGACCAGCGCACAGGAAGCTGGAAAGAGCCTTCCCAGAAAGGCCACGGGACTGACGCCTGTGGGTTTCAATCTTGTTTCTGAAGAGGAAAAAGAAGACTTTTTTTTTTTTTTAAGTACTGAGTTAGAAAGAATTTCCAGACAGTAGCAGCTCTGCCTAGAAAACAATCTGAGACTTGGGGCCTGGGGAGGGGGTGGTGCTGAGATGGTGCCCTGGGTGGGAATCCACGAAACCTTTCTTCTTGGATCTGGGGCTGAAGGGCCCCTCTCTTGGAGCCCAGATTACTGAGGGAAACAGAGGCCACGGGCGCCTGCCCTCCCACATGGGATCTGGGCTGCGGAGGGGAAGTCCTCAGCTGGGGAGGCAATAGGGTCCTTGCAGACAGTGGAGTAAGGGGCCTACCTCACCGCCTGCTGCTGACCTGCTCCCTTTCTCTCCTTAGATCCTGATCTTCGAGAAGGTGGACAGGTGGCCAACCCCCCACTTCCCAAAGCAGGTCCTGCTCCCCAGGCAGCGTCCCACCAGAACAAACCTGGCCCAAGGGGCGCAACTCCCCCGTCCAGAGGCAGGGGCAGCTGGACACAGGGGCATCCCTCCCTGCCGGCCTCAGGGAGCAGACGTGGACCAAAACCACAGGGATTCCGGATGCCAGACCCAATTTCGTGCTTAACTTTTCTCTACAATGTTATTTTGTTGGTTGTTGTTGGTTTTTATTTTTTATATTTTGGGCATGCCACAGAGCAAGATTGCCCAGACCTGGGCTGAATAAAACAAGGTTTTTCTACTCTGTGGTTCTGCATGTGGCCTGCCGGCTGGGCTGACCAGAGCTAGGTTGGGCTCAGGGGACGAACTGGGGCTTCCTCATTCCCCTAGCAGAACCTAGAAAGGGCAGCCACTACCCCGTTAGGACCACAACTTGACCAAGAGGGCATCAGGCCCACTGCAGAAACCCCGAGGGGTTTACCCCAAGGCTAAGCCCTCTGTGTGGGAAGAGGATCCGCTGGGGCAGGGGCCCTTGCTCCAGCCCACAGGCCTCTGCTCGGTCTCTCAGTCCTCCATCACGCCTCCCTCTTAGCCTCACTCTCCCACCCGCCTCCCTCTCTAGGCACTCGCTCACTCTCCCGGCCACTTACTCACATACTGAGCACCTACCGAATGCTGGGGCCATGCTGGGGCTGAGCACACATAGGAGAATCAGACACAGCTCCTGTTCTCAGAGCTCACCGAGAATGGAGTAGGGTGCACGCCACACTTAGTGAGACAACCCCTGCAGGGAATGGTGCAGCCTTCACATGGGAGGTGGTGTCTCCCTGGGAAGGAAGGCACAGGAGTATACTTGGCAGAGGCTGTGGGGGGTGGGAGACAGAGGTGGAAGGAGGCCCCATGGCTGCTGCAGCCCTTGCTCTCCTGCCCTGCCCACGGTGTCCTAGAGGTCCTGGACACTGGGTCAGGGCAGGAAAAAGCAGAAAGGGGGCAGCTCCCCTCTTCCTTCCCCTCCCACAAGCCCACAGGATACCTCTGCACCCACCTGCCCCCTGCCAGCTCCCTGCCTTCCCATTAGAGTAACACTAGTGAGAAAGGGCAAGAGATGGTTCCAGAACCAGGGCTTTGGGTTCCAGAGCCAATTCTCACTGGCTGTGTGACTTCGGGCAAGTCATGCTGCACCCCTGGGCCTTGGTTTCCTCAGCAAAGAGTGGGAATGTTCTCCTGCCTGACTTGCATGCTGAAATGGAGAGCCAGTGAGCTCCTGCTAAACGGACAGGCACTGGATGAGCTGCAGGGGTTTGGACCTCCCTCCAAGATCACTATGGACCCATAGCCTGTTTGTACCCAGAGTCCTGCAAGAAGAAAGGGGCCTCTTCCCTTTTGGCCCTCATGCAATTCATGCCTCAGGGGCCCTGACAGCTACTAGATCTTCTGACAGGGTGGAGAGGGAATGCTCCTTGGAGTCGTGCCATACTTCTAGAAGGGTCCTGGCCCCAGACCCCTGGAGCCCTTGGGCCACTCACCAGCCCAGGCAACAGGATGCTGTGGAGTGTCTCTGGAGCCCCTCCCACAGCCCCTCATTGAGGTTTGCTAGGATTCAGCTCTTTCCTGGCACAGAGAAGGTGCTGCAGCCCTGCCACTCTCCATCCGGGGCTGAGCTAGGAGGCCTGAAGAGAGTAGACAGAAGCCTGTTAGCCAGGGGCCACCGCTCTGCTGCACTCCTCAGCCATGTATGCCTCAGAGATGCTGTCTTGATTCCAGCCCCATCCCTCTCCATTTTAGGTGTTCCCAAAAATGAACAAGGGAGGGCTCAGACAAGGTCACCCTATTCCATCCAGACTGTCAGAAGCCCCTTGAGGTGGAGTCAAAAGTCCCCCGTTCTCAGGTCAGAAAGGAAACTTACAGCGGGAGACTGCCTAAGGTTA